TAGACCTAATGTGACATTCATAGAAGTTATCCATATATAATTGCACAAAATAACTTTTATACTTCATTCAATACTCAACTTGAATAGCTTTGGCAAAACAAAATAGCTTTGGAAATTTATTGCAAACACATTTTTACATGAGCAGAGGTAAAATTGTTTTATACCTAATAATCAATTCTTTTGTTAAATAGTGCATCTCCCATCACAAATTGCCTTTAGAGATATTATAAAGAGATGAAACTGGTGATAAATTTATCAAGTCTTTGCTATCATTTTTGAAACAAGTAGACTACTCTCTATTGCTTAGTTTATAAGAAATTTCAGGGTGATTTGAAGGAGAGAAATTGAATATTTTGACATGAAATGTTTATTTTCTTGCGAAGAGAAGAATTGGGTTTATTTTCTTAATCCCATTTTCTGTGGCTGAATGGAAGAATTAGGTATTTTCTAAACCCCTTTTCTTTATTGTTCTTTGTTTATTGAATTATAAACTTAGAATGCTTGACCGTAGAACCTTATAGGTCCAATTCAATAAACGTGATAGCAAGAACAAGTAAATAATAATTGCAGGTGCTAGCAAGAATATATTGCATTAGTATTAGATTGGAATTTGGTGCTATTTTAGCCTAAAAATATTTCACTTTTAGGATTTTTAATATGAATTGCATTTTAGAAATGGCCTATAAATTATTGAATATATCACATTTTAGCATCAATAATTTGTATAGTAGAAATAATTGGAATATCATATGTAGGATATGCTTGTAGGAAACAAGAGTAAAAAAATATTTCAATTTTAGGATTATTATTATCTATTAAATTTTAGAAATGACCTGTAAATTGTTAAATAGACCACGTTTTAGCATCAATAATTTATATAATAGAAATAATAGTAAAATAATATGTAGGATACGCTTGTAGGAAACAAGTCTCCATTGCTGAAATTTAATTTCAGCACTTTGCAAAATAGAATTTGAGAAGAACTTGGAAGGAAAATCAGAATCAAGCTTCTTTAATTGATAATGGATGAAGGGACACAATAATATACAATGGGTCTTCTATTGGAGA